CACTGCGTGTGTGCCACTGCGTGTGTGCCACTGTGTGTGGGAGTGTGTGTCACTGCGTGTGTGTCACTGCGTGTGTGTGCCACTGTGTGTGTCGCTGTGTGTGTGCCACTGTGTGTGTGTCACTGCGTGTGTGTGCCACTGTGTGTGTGCCACTGTGTGTGTCACTGCGTGTGTGTGTCACTGTGTGTGTGCCACTGTGTGTGTCACTGGCAGCATAATAATAAATATAATAATAATAATAATAATAATAATAAATATCAATTACACACATAATGCACATTCTTTGAGTTTTCAGAGCTCGTAAACATAACATTTTAGTATAGTTTATAAATAATTTTAGCATATAAATAAAAACAAAATAAATATTTTAATAATCAAACATTTCATTTTAAACATGTTAAACAGTGCTATATATCTTACCAATTTGTGGCACTGTGTCCCATGCAGCTTTGTTTCCTAAAATGACTGCTCCATCATTTTATTGAACAGACATGTCAGGTGATATTATATGTATATATTTTATTATTAAAAAAATTAAAGGGGGGGTGTGAGGTCCAAAAAATTGGGTTGTTGCCTGAGGGCAACACTATTGTCATAGAGAGCTAAGGAATTATATGATCAGGATGCTAAAATAAACAAAAATCTCACCTTTCAGAGAAGATATTGATGCATGTCCCAGCCATGTTCATCACTTGTTGTGGTTCCCTTAAACATTTCCAATGTGGTCTGTGCGTATTTACATGTTTGTATTTGTTTGTATAGGGGAAGTCGTGGCCTGGTTAGAGAGACGAATCGTAACCCAAAGGTTGCGGGTTCGAGTCTCGTACCGGCAGGGATTGTAGGTGGGGGGGAGTGAATGTACAGAGCTCTCTTCCACCTTCAATACCACGACTGAGGTGCCCTTGAGCAAGGCACCGAACCCCCAACTGCTCCCCGGGTGCCGCAGAATAAATGGCTGCCCACTGCTCCGGGTGTGTGTTCACTGCTGTGTGTGTACACTTTGGATGGGTTAAATGCAGAGCACTAATTCCAAGTACGGGTCACCATACTTGGCCACATGTCACATGTCACGTCATGATGACCCATCACTGTTTGTGCTGTAAGTATCTGCAGCGCGTTTCTGTTTTTGGTTGTGATGTGAGTATTTGCAGCATGTGCTGTCAAACAGATGATGATGTTTTATTAATTTGCAGGTGTTTTTTCATTTGCAGCACGTTGAGCTCTCTCTGCCACCGTAGAATTGATTATTGTGAGTGAAAGAGGCAGCAGCTAACAATTCTACCTGATGGCATCTCTGCCACAGGGGAATAGAGCAGGTTTGAGAAACAAGAAGAAACAGCTAAAAATACTAAGGAGACCTACAATAATTCCTACCCTCATATGCCACAGACTTCACATGTCCAACATGCAATACTATTTTTAGATCAAGGACTGGGCTCTACAGCCATTAGAGAACACACCATTAATGAGGAGGAATGCCTTCATCAAATACGATGGACTACAATTAGTAACCTAGTATCCCGTTCTGATAATTACCTTACCCTGTCTGGCTTCTTACCCCACCCAAACTTACTCCAAACCAACAGAACTTGACATTGTGAGATGGTGTCAGATTCACTCCACCTCTCAAATCAACTAATTTTCACAGCTACCGCACTTGAACGTATCAGATTCCAGTCTGCATAGCAAACACTTTGCCTGCAGCAAATCGTACCAAGCATCTGATTAATTTAGTCTTCAGTATTCTCAGTAGAGTTTAAGCACAGAAAAGTGAGTATTTTAATGAAGTTTCATGCAGCATGAATACATGAGTTTAGTCTGGTTGATTGACATGGGAGAAGCAACAAGAATACAGAAACCGGTGAGACACATTCAAGACTTTACAAGTGTTCACAAGTATCAGAATACTTTCAATGGGATTTATTCAACATTTCAATGAGCTCATTTGATAGTAAATCAACAATAGACTTGCAGTGTGCTGTGTCAAATGGAGACTGTAGAACACCCAGCCACCCAATGTGATCAGTCCCAAGTGATGTATGACAGAAAACTGGAAGAAAAAACAAGAGCTTACAACTCAGTCAAAAACACAGGCGGTCACTAGGGAAAGTCGTGCACTTGTATATGTGACCCTGTACCACAAAACCAGTCATAAGGGTTTGTTAGGATAGGACAATATTTGGCTGAGATACAACTATTTGAAAATCTGGAATATGAAGGTGCAAAAAAATTTAAATATTCATAAAATTGCTTTTAAAGTTGTCCAATTTAAGTTTTTAGCAATGCATATTACGAGTCAAAAATTCGGTTTTGATGTATTTACGGTAGGAAATTTACAAAATATCTTCATGGAACATGATCGTTTTTTTAATATCCTAATGATTTTTGGCATAAAAGAAAAATCTATAATTTTGGCCTATGCAATGTATTTTTTATATGTTGCTACAAATATATCTGTGCTACCTGTGTATACCTACTGTGCTACCTGAAAACATAGTTGAGCAAATGTGAGATGCGTCATCAACAACACTGTCACCTGCATACAGACAAATATAGGCATGTAATTGAAAACCCCCCGAAAAAAACAGGCAAGTATTTGTTTACTTTACTGCAGGCAAAGTGGATTTGATGTAATATTCCTCAGATGAACTGCTCATTCAATAGGTTTATGTACAAAAACAAAACTCAAGATAAACTTGTATGATTTAAATACCACTAAAGTGGGGTCTATATTTTTATTGGTTTTAGGGCATGTTCACACCAAGAAAAATAACAGTAAATATAACTATATTGATAATTATACCAAATCAAAGCTTGCTTTTGGGTTTCTCAAGTGTTGCTTAAAGAGGCGTTGTTTGGTTCCCTTTCCTGATGGTCACTTCTCACCAGAGAGACCAATTTATTTTGAGTGTAACTAAATGAGCCAATGCACATTGGCATGCGATAATTGCATCCGACTGACATGCCCAGATGCAGACTGGCCATCAGAAGAACCAGTAGAATTCCCGGTGGCCTGGCAGCCGATTTGGCCCGCTGCCCTGTTTTTATTATTATTATATTATTGCCTGCCGAATGTACTAAATCGATTATTTCCGAATTCGCCATTCGATAAAAAATCTATTAAATCATGAATCGGTTAGTCATGACTGGCAATGCTAAGCTTTGGCTTGCACGCTCTGCACCTCTGCCAAACGTTTTTCCATGAGTTCACCCTTACATATAATCTGATTGAGCAAATAGTAAGCATATTTTGGCATGCTGTCCTGTGGGAGGGCTCCGAGCCCGGAATATAGCCTGAACCCAGAGAACTCCCCCTATCTCTAGTATGGGATGAGAATAGATTAAGAGTGAGGAGTTGGGGTGGAGGAGGGATACCGGAAAACTGTCGTAGAATAAAGGTAAGAAGGCTGTGTATATACATATTGTGCTAGTTAGGATGAATAGCTAAACAGGTTACACCTGTGCCAAATTAGCTGATTGTCTGATCGTGCTCCTCTCGAACCTTGTTAAATGAAACATAATTTCACGAGTTCACCCTTACATATAATCTGGTTGAGCAAATAGGAAGAATATTTTGTCATGTTGTCCTGGGGAGGGCTCCGAGCTCGGAATATAGCCCGAACCCAGATAACTCCCCAAGAGAAGCTTATAAGCATGGGACAGCAGTCGGAGAGCAGAATTCATTTGTTGCCCCTCAAAATATGTGTGCCGTGAAAAATATGGGTTAGAATTTGTGAAGAAAAAGGGGACAGGGCGACCGGGAGAGCCCGTGCAGTGCTCGACGGGAGCTGCAGCTTGCAGCGTCGGACTGGCGGGCCCGACACGCCACAAAAAGAGGAGCACGATTCCAGACATCAGATGAGGGACTCTCACTGCGTCTGAAGGGAGCTGCGGCTCTGCTGCACCGGAAGGGAGATTCCCTCTTGCGGCTGAATACAAGGTGCGGCTTGAAGCGTCAGATAGTGGGCTATATATAGATAGCCCCGTCCGCCACCGAGTACGCAGCGTAACTCAAATGACAGACGGAGGGCTCACACTGCGACCGAAGGGAGTGTAATGACTTTATTACTTAAATTTAGGGAATTAATTATTATTAATTCATTCAGGTTTTGAAAGGACTCGGATCGGAAAATTCTGAGTCAACCTGATTAAAGCTGAATTCAAATCTGATACACTTTAAATCAAGGGTCGTCCAGCGAGCCGGTGATTCTTAGTATATTTTAACAACTTGAATCTTTGTATTTTCCTTGACAATTGGTCAATACGATTATAATAATTTGTAAGCTCTTAGAGAGGTAACGTAATCTTTGGCAAAGGTTTTAACCTTAAAATTATATGACACCAAAACAATGATTCTTTATAAATGAAACATGAATTTTATTGGCTATTCTAGATTACATTAAAACTAGGCTAAAACACACATACACACACACACACACACACACACATATATATACAGCTCAGAAAATTGAAGGAATGAGTTAACGGAATCGCACGTAGTTTTCAAAGTTCTAACACTCGTTTCCAGGAGTGGTTTAAATTCACCTGAGAGAATTCACAAAGCAGAGGTTTGTCTTAAGTTTGCTGCTTAACGCAATTCACCAGTTCAACACCGATTTCAGCAGATAGGAGCTTTGTTTGTTTACTTGCGTTTTGCTTTGGATGACAGCTGAAAAGCGGAGTTGTTTTCCCGTTGCTGGGCTTCCCGGCTTTTGATTGGTTGCTGGTCAGGCGTCTGGCTGACGTAGTTTCTGGGAATTCCCTTCGGAGATTGGTTACTGCGATGACGTCAGAATGGCATCCCTTTTGGGGAAGCCCTCATTGGGTTGGTTGGTTGCTGGGTTAAGGAAGAGGCTTCAGCAGTCCTGCTAAAAGCCTGAGTTTGCAAGACCATCATGCAAGGTTCGGTTTCTTTTTTTGTAACATAAGGACGCGGGTCCGTTGGGGTTTCAGGAAGCAGATGTGATGAGAGTCATGTGTTAGTCACGTCTAGATCCCGTGGTGCGGGCCTGAGGGCACTAGTTAATTTACTGTCCTTTTCCTGTTTGGCATATAATAGTTACATCCATTGGTGGTCACAAGACATCATGGTTTCTATATGTTGTGAACGAACCTTTTCAGTCCTTGATACAAAGAAAGCTTTGTTGTCTCTTGATTGAATCAGTCTTTAATCACTCGTCTGAGTAGATGACGACACGACCGGCAGGAAGTCGACCCAGAATATTGGAATCATGTGCTGGGTGATTAGCAAACCTCATGATGGCTGATAGGGGCATAATAGTAGTGTCCGTAAATCATAGAAATCCCTACATAGCTGTGGCTCTGCTGCACTGGAAGGGGGAGCCCAGTCCGATGCTGAATAAGCAAGGAGACATGACTGATGGAGGGACTCTCGCTGTGTCCGAAGGGAGCTGCACCGGAAGGGAGAATCCCCCTTTGTGGCTGAATATGAGGCGTGGTTTGATGCCTTGGATGGAGTGCTCTCACTGCGACCGAAGGGGGCCTGAGGCTCTGCTGCACTGGGAGGGAGAGCCCCGTCTGCCGCCGAGTACGCAGTGTAACTCAGAACAACAGACGGAGGACTCACACTGCGACCGAAGGGAGCCACTGCCCTGCTGCACTGGACCAAATGGTCCGATTCGAAACGACGGCTGAAGGGCTCTTACTGCGACCAAAAGAAGCTGTGAATTACTGCACTGGAAAGGAGAGCCTCCGATTACCCGAGTAAAGGAGGTGATTTAAAAACAACGTAATTATTATTTTTTTTAAAAACTGATCAGGGCTATATGGGCTTCCTTTATGTGGAGATTATTATTATACCTGATGTAGCTTTTAAAAGCATCTAATGACAGTCGACCGAGGGCTTGTATCTGATTCTGTGAGAGGCCTTTTTGAGCTGCTGTAGTTGCTGCCCCGATGCGAAATGCGTGGCTGGAAATTTTTTCTGCGAGTAAGCCTCATTGAGCGAGGATCAGCTTTAAGTGTTTTTGGAACCAAAAATGTGTAACGGGTGGTTAGAGTTGTTGATGAAGAGAGGGTCCAGTGTGGATTTAGACTGAGCGTTCCTGAGTTGGAAATAAGCAATGTAAGGGAAACAGGTCAATTTAGCTCAAAGGGAATCATTTAAGATTTTAAAGGGAACTCCACCATTAATATGTAAGGGAATTAGGACAGAATCACTGTTTTACGGATGAGTTCAAGGCTTATTCGTACCCAAGATGATTAGGCATAAGAGGGAATACTAGAAAAAATTATCATATGAAATGATCTGAGGGGGGAAATTTGAATGATTCCAAATAAATTTAATATTTTAATTAAATTTGAATTTGGTACAATTAATAATTGTGAGTCAGTATTTCCCTTTCTAGTAAAATAAGATAAAGTGGTAAGAAGTGAGAAAAGGGAGGAATAAGAGAGAGAAAGAGACCAACAGGTGTATTAGTTTAGATGTTTAAAGGGTTAAATCACTTTATCGTTGCCCAAACAGACATTGCATTCAACCACTGGATGTTAATGCTAACTGCTAACCTTTGAGGCTAAAGGCTTTAGCATAGACTTCAATGTAAACAACTGTTTCGTTAGCTTAGCCACCCGTGGGGTTTGTTTACAATATCATTGCTGTGCTGCGCGTGCGCAGTTCAGAGTTGCTTCGGCAGTAGGTTAAGACTTCCTTGTCAGGATCGTAACTATGGCAACCAAATCAAGCTCTAGTGGCTAAGCGTGTGAATAGTTGCATTGCAAGTACAGTTAAGCATATTACACAAAATGTTGGCGCATTTCAACACTGTACAAATAACAACACCACTTTTGGTTGGTTTTGCGATGTGGCGCTTAAACTCTTGGTTCGTTCGGAGTTAAATTTAACTTTATTCAAACAGCAGCTTCGTGCTGCAGTTAGGGGAAACAGTGATAACGATCTCAGCAGATCTTTAAATCTCCGTGCCAGTTTCTGTGGACGAGTAAACAACAGGTTTTCTTCGCTGTTGGTGCAAAGTTAATATTCACTTACACGCAGTGTTAAGCGAAATAAAATTTACTTTGTGAACAGACACAGGCAGGCAAGCATTATCTCGTAATGTTTAACTCAGGGAATCGAATAGCATGGCATAACAATGGGACACGCATTGAAATCAAACTATGAATAATAAGGCTTTGATAAGAAGATTGAGGAACACGCTCAAAACTATTCTTTATCACCGATTTATTTCCCTTTTAACTACTGCAGTTAAGCTCCGTTCAGCTAACGGTGACTGAGATTCAGGGAGAATAGCGATTGAAAAAACCTGGAAACCCCAATGAAATCAATTCAGCTAAAAAACAAGGCATTAAAAGATTGAGGAACACGCTCAACTTCTACCTTTTTGTAAGATCTCAGATGTTAACTTGAAGTTACACTTACTGCAGTTTAACAACGAAGAGGCGGACTCGAGTTACAGCCTTCTCTGCATTAATTCAAGCGGTCGCGCGCTGCTTACGTCACACACACACACGCAACACACACACACACACAGAACAGAAGCTTCTCGTCTTTCATCCGCAGCAATG